GTCAAAGAGGAGTTGGGGCTGGAGGAAAGGAAACGACCTGTCCAGGGTCTCACAGAGCGTTAGGAGTGGTGTCAGAATTAGAATTCGGGATTCAAAGCGTGATGTCTGCAGCCGCCACCTCACACTTCAACTATAGGCAACAGTACACCAAACCTCTTTGATGTCTGGCCCTGCCATTTAGCCTCTTTTGTCCTCCTGCCTTGGGCTACTCTCTCTTCTGCAGCAGCCCTCCTGGACTTCAGGTTTCCCAGCCTTGTGATGGGCCACGAGTTACCTGGAGCCTGGCACCTTGAAATTAGAATGGAATCTGGGTCCAGGCAGTAGGCAGTCAGCAGCCATTCCGTGGGGGAGTTCAGCTTGAATTTTTGAGGAAAATGTAAAAAGAAGAAAAACACTGGCTCACCTGCCCAAGCTCTGTTAGTCCCAGTACCTGGGGCCAGTTCTAGAGAGGAGCTAACCCTCAGCTAATACTGGGTTAGTAGGCAGGGATGAGAAGTGATATGACAGCTAAGTGATCAGCCAGGCCCCTTGAAGAAATGAGTTTGGAGGAGGAAAGAACAAAGGTCAGATAAAGCAGAAGTCTTGGACCCCAGCCTGGTCCAGTAGGCTGCACATTCTCCTTTTAAACCTTTGGCCTCCAGGTTTTGCTGCTCCCTGCTCGGGAGAATAGCCCCAAATGACTTAGCTGGCAGATTGGGACACATCTAAAGGAGTGATAGGCCGCAGGGGTAGGGATTAGGTTAGGTGCCTGGGTAGGAATAAGGTTGGGGTTTAGTGGTGACCTCCAAATGCCTGTGCAGTTGAGTGGTGTTGATGGTGAAGCATCAGGCCTGCTCATCCTGACTGTCTGAAATCTGAGCCCTGCTAAGGCTGCAGCACCCTCCTGTTCCAAGACCCGCAGGCATTACATTGGGGTCTCATTCCAGCAGGGCTGCCCCAGGAGCCCAGGGAAAGGGAGTGAGAGTGTATGTGTGTTTGTATGGGAGTGAGATAGCGTACGTGTGCAAGGGAATGTGAGTGCGTGTGTGATGTGTCTGGGTGTGGGATGTGAAGGTGTGAGAATAGAGCATGTCTATCTGCTTGTGGCACTGAGTGGGTGTGCATGGTCTGTGAAGAGTATCTGTGAGTGGGTGAGGGAGACAGTGTGTACCTGGAGTGTGTCGGATTGGGAGGGACACGGCGTCCCTCCACTCTGTATTCCGCAGCGCCCGCGCTGCGGGCCCTGAGGATGGTAAATAGTGATTAGAATAATGATGAATAATTAATGAGTTAATAACCATCCC